AGAAGTGGTCGTCAACAATGCCAAGGTTCCCTGGCATGATGGCTGGGTAAAGAGGGAGACCTACGAGCTAGTGGGCTGTAAAGTAGTAAATAGCGCATGCATAGCCATAAGAAGGCTCGGTTTGCCTGGTAAAGGTTTATGCGGGAAATGAATATTGCAAAAGCTTGTGGGGCGCGTTCAAACTTCTTGCTAGTATATTCTTCATTGCTGTTGAGTTGATATTGTGGTAGTTGGCCCAAGTTGTATGGAGACTTCTGCAATGTCACTGTGAGCCCTGAAAGGTCAGTCACGGAAAACGCACAGTCTGTTGGCACAGGCGCTCTGAGGGTGACATGTGCTTCGCTCTAGATGTAGTTGAGAACCACTATGCTGCTCATTTTCCAATCGCCTCTCCCACAGAAACATGCAACAAAGTAGCACGAGGTGACACATAGCAGGCACTGCGCATGTTTTCGTATGCTCTGGTCGTTCAGCTCGCGACTAGCCCTTGTATAGGGCAGAGACTCCCCGACACTATGTCTATACTTGTCGTGCTTCCGCAAAACGACGTCCACACAGGATTTGTAAGGAAGAAGTCGTGGTATGAGACATGCAGTTACCATGTGAACATCTAGGTGACACCCTGCGTCGGGGAGACTCTCACTGCGTTCTTGTGCTAGGCTGTTTCATGAAGCTCAGTGTGGCACCGCGCCGATGAATTTGTCTTCGTCTTCTGCCCTCACCCGTCCTCGCCTCCTGGTATAGAAGAGTACACCTGGCCGGAAAAAAAACAAGAGCTTTGGGGAGAAACCAAGAAGATATCTCCTATGCTAAACTATTTGCTGAGATTAGAGGCTGAAGCTCACGGCGGCGCCGCGCCTATTTTTGTTTGCCTGCGCCGTCTAGTCCGCGCGACGACACTTCTGCAGAACAGCGTCCATGCCGTCGCGGTGATACATTTTCGCAGAGCGGCGTCCATGTCCCGAGCCTCTCAGAGACTCAAAGCCGCGTGAGCGTGCTTGGACAGCAAAGTCTCCCAATGCTTCAGTGCCCATAGAATATAGTCTCGATTTTTCCATGGGCGCAAGGAAGGTCGGCGCCGCAAAATCTGTTCAATGGCTTCCTGCGCCTGAAGACCTTCCCTGGCCATCAACGTCGCAGCCAGTGCCGCGGGGCTGCGATGTATGCCGCCGAAACAATGGAAGAGCACGACTTGTTTCTTCCCCAGCATGGCACGCCTGGCATTCAAAGTGCGTGCGATCTCTGACCACACCCGACAGTTCTTCTGGGCCTGCTCCGTGTACAGCGTCGGATCTTGGGCGACTTTGACCGTCAAATCGTCCAGAGCGTAGACACATTGTTGGGCACTGTGCAGGCGTAAATAGGCATCCAAACTTTTTGGTGTCCCTTTGGCCTGCAACTCCTTGGCACAGAGCGTCACGAGCGTGTTCACTTGGACGCCGCAGATATGTGCCACTTCGGCCAAGTTCGCCGCCGACTTCAGACTGCCCAGGACATACACCATATCGCTCGACTCATAGACGATGGTCGCGTCCAAGGGCCACGCACGGAGATCTCCCAAATTGTAAGAATGGTTCCACATGACACGATCCAGATGCCTCCATGGCCCATGGTAGAAGTACGTCTGAATGAGATCCTTCATATCGTCGATCCACTCTTGCGCACAAAGCTCCACAGGCAAATGTGGCAGGGATGGCTGCAGGTGATTCATACCAGGGCAATCTGTCCGAAGCCTAGATGTTATGAATACTGGAGCCAAAAAGCTATAACCCTGAGAGAAATGGTTAGTTGTTGTTGAAATGGGCAAGAACCAGAAACTAGTGCCAAAAGAAGCGCGCGTGCTATCATAGATGTAAAGCCGAGCTTTTCTCTCTGGGATCCCGCGCCTCGCTGACGCGTTGCGTCCACCGCAGTGCCGAACTTCGACAGAAGCACGTCCATGCCTTGAGAGACAAGAGAATAGAAGAAAAACAACGAAAGGAGCGCGTGATGCAGTCTTCTGGTCCAACTTTCATGCTAGCGTCGATCTAAAGCTAAGCTTTTCTCTCTGGGATCCCGCGCCTCGGTGTCGCCCTGTGTCCACCTCCGTAAGAACTTCCGCAGAAGCGTCGGATCTGGAGCAACACGCAAAGCAGACTATAAGACAGAAGCAGAGTTCTCCGGCGGACTATTATATGCAAGTTGAGACAATTACAAAGGACAGCGCTCCCTAACAGATAATTGCCTCGAAGCTTGCTGAAATTGCAAAGCCAAGTGTAACAGAGAACCAGAGTTCTTCTCATCACCATTGCAAAAAAGAAACTTGAGTAGAAGCAGCTATCTAAACATATAAAACGACATGCAGAGAAAAACATGAGGAGCTAAAGGCAACAAGTGTGTATCCGCCTTGAAACAGAGTCTCTCCAAAAGTACCGGTTGTGTCGTCAGGCGCACGGAGACTCGTCGTTTTCTGCCGGCTGCAAAGTCACGGACACGCAGAGCGTGGGTCGCTGACACAAACTTTCGTAGAACGACGTCCGTCTGTGTCGACGTCCCTTCAGCTTCCCCGTCTAGGTGCCCGTCGTCGCGGCGTGAAGTGGAAGACAGGCAAATTTCCAAGGTACTCGACATGGAGGTCGCCTCGCTCCACGTCTTGCCGCCAAGCCGGGATGAATTCAGATAAAACATCACTCGGTTGGACTTCCAGACAGCCGTGGTGATCTACATTGACCAAGGACACATCACTGGCAGTCATGGAAGTTCCTCGGACAACGTAGGCGAGAAGATCTGCAACAGTATAGAAGCCATCTTGCAGGTATGTGTTACATCTCTCCTCCACGTGGAAATAGATCAGAAGATACATTTCCGGATAGTTGCATCCCAGCCGGACCAGCTCACCATCCGGCCTCTCCAGGTGCAGCACAGCTGTTTGCTGAACAGTTAATCCAGCCCAGAAAATACTCGGCGCCGAAGTGTCATGGCTCTGACTTGGAGATCGAGATCTTCTCGGGGCAGGCGCGTCCACGCGCGCGTCCCAGTGCGTGTCTGGCAGAATGTCTAGCAGCGCATTGACTTGAGTCAGCATCGTTTGTAGACTACCTCGGAAAGCTAGCAGCTGCCGTGGCCAAGCAACGAGTCCACCAGGCATGGAACCGATGAAAGCACTTCCGGCAGCGGTCGCGACTCAAAATAGGTCAACCGGAAAAAGCAAGGCCGCAGAAGTGTTGCTCCATGCTGTCTTGCAACGTTTGCTTTCTTTTCTGTCCCAATGACATGGCTACTTAGCTTTTCCTCTCGTGTGTTTGTAGCATTGTCAAGCACTTCTTCGTGCACCTTGAGAGAACAAAACAGAGAAGAAAAATAAAGAAAGGAGCGCCTGATGCAGCCTTCTGGTCAAACTGTCATGCTATCGTCGATCTAAAGCTAAGCGTTTCTCTCTGGGATCTCGCACCTCGGTGTTGCCCTGTGTTCACCTCCCTAAGAACTTCCGCAGATGCGTCGGACCTGGACCAACACGTAAAGCCAATTAGAACACAGAAGCAGAGTACTCCTCCTCACTATTGTGACAAGAAACTGTCGTGATATCGGGAAGATCCACAGCTCTTGTGCGTCTCAGTCGTGTTGTGTGATAACGTTTGCTTTGTTTTCTGTTCCAACGATATGTCTACCGATCTTTTCTGTTACACCTTGCGGCAGCCGACCACGGCAAAAGCTAGCGGGGCAGCGCAAGACTTCGCAGAAGGACGTCCTCTCGCAGCGTGTCCCGGAAAATATTACGCTAGTCTGTGCCCCAAGCCGCGCATTTCACCTTGGAGGGAGTTTCACTCACCAGACCCGACGCCGGTCGCTTATTGCGAGTGGTCTGAGGGCTCGTAGCCAGCAACTGCCATATGCCAGCTTGCTCAGCTTGCAGTTTGGAGACTACCTCCCCCACCTTACCGCGCAGCCACTCAATGTTGAAGGTGATCTCACCGGTTTCGGGATCTGCGTGGGGGCGGCCCACTAAAAAGCGAGGCTGGTTGTCCCCCATGTTGAAGAGGTGGCAATTCTTGAAGTGGCAGATGGCTTCCGTTTTGAAAGGTCTACTGCTTGCGCCGTTGAAGGGGAAAACTTGCTTGTGGAAGGTGATCAAGTGCTTCTCTCCGTCCACCTCCACTTCCTCCACGTCGGGCTCGTCGCGTGCCTCCACCACGATGCACACGTAGCTGACGAAAAGCTGCCCCCGCGGAAAGTAGATGCCCATGTCCGAAAAACTGAGATCTTTGTAGAGGTCCGTCACGGGCAGCACAGCCCCAGCCGTGGATGCATTCTGAAAGCGCGTGATTTGCTTCACCATGGGCCTCTTGTCTTCGGAGTAGGCCCAACCAAAGGAAGCACGGCAGCCTAAGACCTCAAATTGACTGAGCAAGTTTTCTGTCTGATTGAGACCTGGACGCCTCCACTGCTTCATGAATTTGGCTGTGCCCAAGCGGATGTCATAGGGGCCACGAAAGCAAAGAGACTGAGGGCCATGAGCTTTCACCTTGGCAATGACCTCGGTCTCGGACGTCAAACCGCCCAACGCAGTCAGTCGCTCAGCGTTGACAAGTACATCTTCCACGACGCCAGTGCAATCAGCAATTTGTGCGTGTGCCAAGACGGCCTCTTGGCCTCTCTCAGTCTTACAGCCATGCATTGCACTCCTCTTACAAAGGCCGGTCTCCGCGTCGATCTTTGTGTAACAAAGTTTGCAAGCTGTGTAGACAGGATCGCCGCGGATCTCAGTGATCCATGCATTGTGTAGGACCACTTCGACTTGTTCCTGTGTGAACAAAGATTATGAGGGAAACAAACAGAGCAAAAGTCCAAAAATCATGAAACTACATTGCGCCGGAAATTCGGCAAACCAGCTACTCTGCGTACTAAAGTTGTATTGCTAAGTCGCCACTTCTC